TGAAAAGGTTCACAAGATAATCATCAGCCCCGGAAGCTGAAAAGGTGTTAAGCTGTTCCAGACAGTGCCAAGAAAGATAGTTGGCTTTAAGGAGAACTCTGACTTGCAGAATTTTGTCCAGAGATGGCCAAGTGCAGACAAAATGCCACCATACATGGTGGCAGCCAAGTGAATGGGTTAATGGCTTAATCATCAAGTCATAATCTGCAATTGGTTTATTGTCTCCTTTGTGTAGGATCTGCTAATTATTGCAGTTATTGGCACTGAGCACTATATTTAGATTTGTCCTGCAGTTTCAGTGATAACTTCATTATTACACTATTATTTCCAAATTATACAGTAGAAAAATCACCTTTTGGAGTGAAAGTTTTCTGTGTAGAGATGAAAGAAACCCCCAACCCTGGACACTTACATTGAAGCTCATTAGCTGTTCTTGAATGGTGTCAAGAAAACTTTTTTTTCCCCCATTTTTAAATGTTGTGTTTCCACAATCAGAAAAACAAAGCAACTGAGAAGGCAACTAAGATCTAAACCTTGGGAAACAGCAAGTCAGCAAAGTTTCCATGGGGAAGGTGTTTGTGGCTTGAGTCAAAAAGAACACAGAGGAAATACTGCCCCAAGAGAGTTGAGCAGGGCCAAATATTAGAACCTTTATTGTCACATTTCCTTTGCTTTTGAATAGTAACTGGGGGGGAGGAAATAATCTGTTTATCTTTCTTTCTTTGTAGGACTCACAAAGGCCCAGGTTCCTTATGAATGTGTGGCACTGAAAACTGGAAGCTAATCCATTCCTGCAGAAGGCAAACTTATTTCCAAAGACCTTTCCATCAATCACTTTTCCTCTTGGCTAAATGAATTGAATTGTGTTCAAAAGGAAACTGAGTTTATGAAGCAGAGAGACACAGACACTAAAGTGTTTCTTTCTGAAAGGGTTCAAAATTAATCTAATTATGCTCTTGGTAACTCGAAGTTACCCAAGCTCGTTCCAACTCCTAGCTCAGTGCACTGCACATTTCCAACCAACCTAGCTCCAGCTGCACTCCAAGTTATTTTCCTCCTGTGACTTCTTAATTAGATTGCCCTTATGAGGCAAGTTTTAAGAGCAATATTGCTCTTCGATGACAGCCTCACTCAAGCTGGCCCTGAGGCTGAGCTCAGCCCCAGCCAACTCCCAACACAATACTCATTTCAAACATACACAGCTCCTGCCTAACTCTCCTCATTTCATCTGGCTAAAACAGACAGAGGTTCCAGAAAAGAGCATAGAAATAACAAATATGTCAACTCCTGTGGCTGTGTATAAATACACACCTGTCCTCAAACTCCAAAAGGGACCTTGATGTTCCTTGTTCTGGATATAAAATGTTTGAGCCTACATTGACCTGAGCTCACTTGCCCTGCCAGAGTCCTGGCAGGGCAAGTCTTGCAGATGCAAAAGTCAGGAGTATCCTAACCAAGGGAGGCAATTCTGAAAGCCAAGCTCAGAAACAAAAAACCTGGCCAGCTGTCTCCTGACTTAGAAAGCATCCAAACTTCAAACTTTCCTTGCAAGGTTTTTCCAGGCTTGTGCTGGGAATTGCCATAACACTACAGACTGGCAGAGCTGAACTAATTCTCCCTCCACTAACCTACTGAAAGCAAAAGCAAAAATCACAAAGGTGCTTCGATTCCAAATCCCTCTCTACATCTGGTACCTTCAAATTTCTAAAACGAACAGCAGATCATTTCACTGGTGTACCAAACTGCTGAGCTGTCCAAGGAAACTCAAAACTTGCTAGAGTCAGACTTCCTGGCAAGACAACAGGCCCTTCAGAATCTGCATCTCACCAAGGAGCTCAAGGAACACAGCACGGGGTGACCTTAGAGGTCTTCCAGTGCCTGAAGGGGCTCTAAGAAAGCTGAGAGGGACTGCAGGGAGAGATAGGACACAGGGAATGGCTTCACACTGCCAGAGGGCAGGTCAAATTGGGAAGAAATCCTTCCCTGTGAGGTGCTGAGGCTCTGGCACAGGGTGCCCAGAGCAGCTGTGGCTGCTCCATCCCTGGGAGTGTTCCAGGCCAGGCTGGATGGGCTTGGAGCAGCCTGGGCTGGGGGGAGGTGTCCCTGCCCAGGGCAGGGGATGGGATAAGATGAGCTTTAAGGTCCTTCCAACCCAAACCATTCCATGACTCAATGAGTATGAAAAGGCATCTTAAACAAGTTAGATTAAAAAAAAATCAGGATGAAATTCATACAAGTTATAAGAAATCATAGAACATCCTGAGTTGGAAGGTAACCTCAGGGATCATTAAAGCCCAAGTCCTGGCCCTGCACAGCACAGCCCCAAGAATCCCATCGTGTGCCTAAGAGCATTGGCCACATCAGAAGGGACTTTTATTCCACGCTGCTAAAGCTGTGGGCCCTGGTGTGTTTCACTGAGGCTCCATGAACAAATCCCATGCCCCAAAGCCCCAGGCACGTGTCAGGCAGCCTCACCATAGACGCGGAGGTCGATGTCTCTCTGGCTCTCGCCCGCGGCGTTGACTGCGACACACGTGTACCTCCCTGTGTCACTGATCTGAGCACTGGGCAGGGCCAGGACTCTGCCCCCAGACAGAACCTGCAACACAAGCACAACAGCTTCACAACAGATGCCTCAGTTTAACAGCAACAGGGAGAACCAGGAGGTCTCATGGCAAGATTAAATGTTTGGTTGCTACTGTTTCCTACCATCTCCTGCTCCCTACACTCTTCCCTGAGCTCCTCTGCTCGTTCTCCTTTGAACCAAATGCAGAGTTCTGACTTCATGCAAGTCTGTAGGGCTCTCCTGGCATTCACAGCACTTTGCAGCACCTGAACATCCCTCCCTGATACCAGCTGAGACCTGCTGTCACACACTGGGTCTGTGCCCTGAGCTGTCCCTGCAGTGTACCAATTTCCCCTCTTTCCTTGCAGGTCATAGAATTAGCTTTCAAAAACCAACCACAGCCTCTCCTTTTAGCTCTGAAATATCTCCTTGTATCAGTGATTGGGTGTTTTTCTTTTCTGAATTACTATTGTATACAATGAGCTATTGTATGGTCTTGAGCTCCACAGATCTCTTCAGCAGAGAAACATGGTCCAACTTCCTCTTCTTCCCAGTAAGTGAAAAATATGTTGATGCCAAGTCTTACTCAGTATGAAATCAGTTGAAAGGATCCCTTTATTTCTATGTATCTGTATCTTCCACTTCACACAGTAATCACTGAAGCTAAACTCACTCAAATAACATGGAGCAAAAGGCCTCATCATTTTATTCCCAATCCTCTAAGTTACCCAGGGAGGCTGTGGCTGCCCCAACCCTGGCAGTGTTCACAGCCAGGTTGGATGAGCCTTGAGCAACCTGCTCTGCTGGGAGGTGTCCCTGCCCAGGGCAGGGCTTGGGGCTGGATCACCTCTAAGCTCCATTCCAACCCCTAAATTCTATGATCCTCTGATTAAACAGCCCTGATTTAAAAGCCTCCTACCACAACAGGGAACAAGCACGGATAGAGCAAGAGTTGCCCCCAGCACCTGGAGTCCATTGCTGAAGCTGGACACAGGGCTGCCATCCTTTAGCCATGTCAGGATGGGGGCAGGGATGCCTCTGGCTTCACACTCCAGTCGCACCAGATTGTTCACCACCACTGTCACCATGTCACTGCTGCCAGAGATCGATGGGGGCACTGAGAAAGACACACAGAGAGAAACAGCTGTAAGAGCTATGTAAGAGGATAAATCACAATGAAACTAAATGGGCTGACTCCATTTGGACATGATTTCTCCTTTCTCATGTTACTCCTACTGAACTCTTGTCATTGATCTTCTCTGTGCCAAGTTCTGCTCTTCCCTTGCATAAGCAGGCAGATAACTTCAATGAAACTACTGTGAGCAAGGTATGTGGGACTGGGCCCACTGCCCAGAGGACAGCTGTGAAACCCAGGAACCACGACAGAAAGCCAGAAAATGTTCCCTCAAACTTCTCTAATATTCCATTTAGACCTTGTGAAAGGCATTAGGAGTGGTGGGGATTAAAGAAAAGAGTTGATCATGTAAACCACATAAAGCAAATCCATACACAGAGTGATAAATTGGCCTTGCAGAGCATATGGGAACATTTACCAGATTAGACTGGATAACATCTGCCTGTCTAATGACACAGAACATCTTAATGGAACATCTCTAAACACTTACTCCAGGCACACAGTCCAGCACATGTTGTAGGGCTATGTTACAAAGGGAGACAAGAAGCATTAAAAAAGGAAAATGTTTCATTTTTGGGGAGAATCAAACCAAATCAATACAAAACGTTTGAAGACACTCCTGGAAAAAGAAGACAATGGTGTGAGTCACTCATGCATATCCTGGGTGAGGGGTGAAAACATGGCTAAAATTCTGTACTGAAAATAAGGTTCATTAATAAATTCAGCAACTTCTAATAGCCCGTAAGGTTGTGGCTGCTCCATCCCTGGGAGTGTTCCAGGCCAGGTTGGATGGGGCTTGGAGCAACCTGGGCTGGTGGGAAGTGTTCCTGCCCAGGGCAGGGGATTGAAACTGAATGATCTCTAAGGTCCCTTCCAACCCAGACAGCTCCATGATTCTAAGGTTCTACCTACTCTTAGATACACTCCAGTAATAGCAGAAAAGGAACCAAGACTCACTCCAAAATCTTTTTTCCCCCACATAAATGCACATAGTTCCCTTATGAGAGGCTGAGGGAGCTGGGGGTGTTCAGCCTGGAGAAGAGGAGGCTCAGGGGAGACCTCATCACCCTCTGCAACTCCCTGACAGGAGGTTGGAGTCAGGTGGGGGTTGGTCTCTGCTCCCAGGCAACAGCAGCAGGACAAGAGGGCACAGACTCAAGCTCTGCCAGGGGAGGGTTAGGTTGGATCTTAGGAAGAGATTTTTTAGGGAGAGAGTGCTCAGGCATTGGAATGTGCTGCCCAGGGAGGTGGTGGATTCCCCATCCCTGGAGGTTTTCAAGCTGAGACTGGATGTGGCACTTGGTGCCATGGTCTAGTACCCATGGTGGAGTTGGACTGGATGATCTTGCTTCCACCAGGAAGAGGGGAAAAAAACCCTCAAGTTTTGTCTTCTCAAACTCAGAAACTCTAAGGAAACTGGATGATAGAGCTGTGGATGGTAAATTTCAGCTCCCCATGGTCAGCCTGGCAGGACACAAGCTGAATGAAGCAGTTTCATGGACAGGAGTTTGGATTTCCTTTGATGTAATTAGTTCTGCCTGCAACTGCATAGATTCTACTCTAGAAGGGGAAACTATGTGCCTAATACTACTTCCCTAGACAACTCTGGACACAGCCACTGAAATTCCTCCACCCATAAAAAGACATATATATCCTAGGGAGTTATTTCTCATTTAACCAGAATAATGACCTTAACTCCAAGTATGTCCTGGGAATTAATCACTGGGTGGGGTTAATTGCCTTTGACCATATCCTGAGCAATCAGTTTTCCCATGATGGTGATTAAACCCATTGAAATGCATTGCTCAGCTCATTAATTAACATTAATAGGAGCTACATACTCCGTGTGCATCCTGGCTGGGGACACTGTGCCAAATTTGAGCCACAGTTCTGTGTGGAAGACTTGCACCAAAAATCAGCTACATGCACATGCATGTATCAAAGATAAGAATTTGGACTGTGGCCACATCCAAAAGCCACTGAAATCAGTGGAAAAGCTCCAATTTGGCCTTTGCTCAGGTGTCTCATGTCTGCAAACACCCACACTTTCACTTCATCTTATTAGACACAGTACATTTTTCTTTAAAAGTCTTAGAATATGAAAAAGCATTTGACCCATGTCCTTTACCTACTGTGAGCTCCAAAGTCATCTACAACAACCCCCAGGAGCTGCCATGCCCTCCAAACTGGTGAAGAGATCACAGAAATAAAATACCTCTTCCACAAATCTGGTGTCTCTGCTCATTCCTCCTAGAATGTGTTCCCTTACCACACTTGCCTAATTCGAAACACTTATTCAAATGTCAGAGGAAAAAAAAACATAAAGAGAGTGAAGAGTATGGAGTGGGAAGAGAAGGAAGGGAAGGCTTCAAACTGTCAGAGGGCAGGGTTAGATTGGACATAGGGAAGGAATTGCTCCCTGTGAGGTGCTGAGGCTCTGGCACAGGGTGCCCAGAGCAGCTGTGGCTGCTCCATCCCTGGGAGTGTTCCAGGCCAGGCTGGATGGGCTTGGAGCAGCCTGGGCTGGTGGGAGGGTTGGAATGAAATGATCTTTATGGTCCTTACAACTCATTCTGGGATTCTGTGACAGTGTGATGAGCAAACTTGAGCAAAGGTGGTGCATGTACATGTTATTCTTGACTGTCACAACACAAGATGAGAGAAATTAACCTGAAGTTGTCCCAGGGGATGTTCAGTTTGGATATTAAGAAAAGTCTCTTCACAGAAAGGGTGGCCAGGCATTGGAACAGGCTATGCAGGGCAGTGGTGGAGACACTATTCCTGAAAGAACTGAAAAGACATGCAGATGTGTCTCCTTTGGGGATGTGGTTTAGTGGCAGCCTTGGCAATGCTAGGTTAGTGGTTGGACTTGATGTCAGAGGACGTGGTTCAGTTCTTACCATGAACCTGGAGGCTGTAGGAGAGCTGGGCCGTGCCCGCCGAGTTGGCAGCCACACACCTGTAAACGCCCGTGTCGGAGATCTGAGCTGCCTCGAGCTGCAGGACCTGCCCCCGGCCCAGCACGGGGGCACTGCCAGCACTGCCCATGGGATGGTTGTCCTTGTACCACGAGATAGCTGTGGCATGAGGGAGAAGGTAGAAATACTCCATCAAAACGGGACCGAAGAGACGGCAGACTTTCCATCTCAGTGTTTAGATAAATAACCTCAACGTTTACAAATCATTATGAATCATGATGATTATTACAATTATGTACTGGGCACTGGGGAGGTCCCAGCTCAGTGCTGTGCTCAGCTTTGGGCACTCACTGCCCAAAGGCCATTGAGGCACTGAGCGAGTCCAGCCAAGGGCAACGAGGGCAGCAAAGGGCAGAGCACATGGGCAAGGGCTGAGGGAGTTGGGTTGGTCAGCCTGGAGAAGAGGCTCAGGGGTGACCTCCTGGCTCTCTGCAACTCCTGCCAGGGCTGGAGAGAGGTGGGGGATGTGTGTCCTGCCAGGGCTGAGGGAGAGGAGAGAGGGAATAAATAGCCTTGAGCTGAGCCAGGGCAGAGTCAGATTGGATGTGAGGAGAAATGTTTTCCCTGTTGGGTGTTCAGCACTGGGATATTGCCCAGGGAGGTGGTGCAGTCACCATCCCTGGAGGTGTTTCAGAGGTGTCTGATGTGGCACTGGAGGATCTGGGTTAGGGTTTGGGGGTTCCAGCAGTGACAGGTTCATGGTTAGACTTGATGATCTTAGAGGTCTCTTCCAACTTTGATGATTCTATGATTCTAGACTATAAATATTGAGCTGACAGGAGAGAAGAGTGGATGTGTTTCAAGCTGATTCAGCAGAAATCTACTGCTGCCTAGGAGAAGTTATCAGTGCAGCACAAGGGAGCAGGTCATGCCCAGGGCTCTACCTCCCTCAGTTAACAGAGGTGAGGATCACCAAATTCCTCAATCCTCACTCCACCTCAGTCAATACATTGACATATCTCATTACACACAGTTTCCAGCTAGTCTGAAAACTACCAAATCAGCTTCGTGTGCAGCACACCCATTATTTTCAAGAGATGCATACAAGTGAGACCCTTTATCAGATGGTCCCCACGGTGCATACCTGGCAGAGGGTTCCCAGATGCTCTGCACTCAAGATGGATTGGATTATTCACCACCACAGTTTCATTTAACATTTTTCCTTCATCTTCCAGTCTGGGTGGTTCTGGGAAAAGGCAAAAGCAGCAGGTTTTCATTAATTCAACCACCCAGCTAGCAGAGCAGCCAATCACAAAGTCATCTGCCCTCAGAGAAACTTTGGGCAGTGAGTTGCACAAGCTTCTCCT